GTACTTTTATTTACTTCTGTCCTTGTAGAGTTCTCCTAAACCCTAGCAACTACTATACAAACTGTCTACTGTTTTTCTGATTCTCCAAACTCCCAATTCAGATGGATTGAAAGTACAAACACCTTTTTTAATATATACTGGTGGCCTAGTTGATATAAAGCCTTACTGAACACCTTAGTTCTATCTGGTTTTCAGTTTTTCAGTTAATAATCTTTTATATAGCACTGTTGAAAGTCTGTGTTATCTCTCTACTAGAAACTTGCCAAGTAAGCTTCTGTATACTTCAGCCTTTGAATTTATCTAGCTGCTCTACTCAGATTTTGTATAACTACTAAATGTTCCACAGCCTCTCAGTACAAGCTGATATGACCAAAGCTACAGATCTGATGATCTATTAGATTACATATAGTCTGCTGTAACACATTCTGTAAAATTCAAATTTCATTGTCAGTAGGATTCAAACTCTTGTCCTGCCACTTGGAGATGTAACAACTTACTGTTGCAGATCATAATAAAATCAGATTAAAAGGAAATAAGAGGTTTCTATTTGCTACTTTAAAATCTACTTATACTTGTTTATTCTAAAATCTATCTATAAACCCTGATTCTAACCCTAAAAAAATGCTAAAAAAGTGCACCTCAAAAATTTGTATTTTTCGGTGGCTTGTCTATTTTACACTATCTCTTATTTCATTTTAATCTGATTTCATTTTAATCTGTCACAGATAATAGTAGTGGCTTCAGCTTGCATGTACTTGTCCTTAGACTTGATATAAGTTACTAAAGTTTAGGTTAGCCAAATTGTAGGTATAGAAAGCTTTAGCAACAATGTCTTGAGGATAAATTAGTTTTAAGAGAATAGAAAAAGCATCTGAAACTTCTTAACTAATAAATATAATGACGATGTACTGATAATACAAGTGGGTTGTATTACAAAAGGTTTAAATGAGTAATATCTGTAGTTAAATTACAGATATAGCACATAGTATAGAACTTACAATAGTATGCGAACTACTTAAATTAAACCAAAAATATATGTATGACTGAATATACTCTCTAATATAATACAGTCCCAGATATTACCAAATATAGAAATTGATCTACTATTAGTAAAAGACTATTCTAGAACCAATTTATATAGTATTTTTGTTTTTTTTAAAAAAAAATCATTTAATAATAAACCTTCGAATTAATTTTAATATAAATTGTCCTATAACTATGTAGTCTAAGAATTCGCTATGTCCCAAATGCTTTAAAAGGCAGTTGTTTATTAAATAAGAAAATGAACAGTGATTGGCATAAATTTAGCCTCAAGGATTTTCATAAACTAGTCATAACTTAAATGAAAGTCTTGAGAATTTTCTAATCATACAAAAAAGGGGTGATCTGCAATATCCAAATTTGGTAATATCCAGAACTGTAATAAGAGGTTCTGTTGTGAGCCTTCTCATCCAAATACCTGAATAAAAAATCTTAACCCAAAGAGGCTAATTAAAAAAAAATTAAATTGGTATTTAGTATTTTTTAAATAAAATAATAATTTATTTTTTATTTTTTATTTTTATTTTTTTTAGTTTTATAACTAGCTTCTTTAGGCTTACGGTTTTTATTCAAGTATATAGGTGATGAGCTCTTTTATAGAACCCTAATATATTATATTACAAATGCAGACCTGGCTTGTTTCATCAATATATCCCCACCACAATTATCTGTTGTAAGAAGTCTCAGATGCTTTCTTAATACTCTTAGGACTAATTTATTCTTAAAGCATTATTAGCTAGAGCTTTCTATATTTACAATTCAGCTAACCTAGACTTCAATAACTTACACCAAGTTCAAGAACAAGTACTTACAAGCCGAAGCTGCTATCGTTACCTACTTCTGCTTTTGCAAGTTCACCCAAATCTCAGTATACACTTTACAGACTATTACTAGTATCTAAGTTCTGTCAGTAATCTAAACTCCCAATCCAAATAGCTCAGAAGAGCTATGACCTGCTCTTGGTTTTCATGGTTAGGTCCTTTTCCTCTGGTTACTTATCCGGTGATCTGGTTGATATAGTGTTTACCAAATACTCGGTTTTTGTCTAGATTACTAAAATTGGTGTCCGGATTTCTTAGATAATTTTTTACATAGTATCGTTAAAGATTTGTACTACCCTTCTGCTCAGAGCTTGCCAAGCAGACTTTTATATGTCTCATAGTCCCAATATCTGGATTAACTCAGCTGTTTCACTTAGATTTCATATAACTCATATATCATACTAATATTCTACAGCTTTTCAGTAAGCCCTGGTATGACCAAGTTTACAAATCCTATGATCTATCGAATTATATACAGTCTGCTATAACATATTCTGTAAAATTCAAATTTTGTTGTCAGTAGGGTTTGAACTTTTGTTCTGCCGCTTGGAATACAACAACTTACTAACTTCACTAAGTCACTACACCTTTTAAAATAATAATTTATTAATAATATAGGATATATATTTATGTTTATAACTATTTTTAACTAATAGTGATGTCACTGCCTTTAATTTTTATCAAAATTTAGAGTTAGGGTGTAGTTTTAGAAAAAAATAAGGGCTAGATATAAAGGTCCAAATTTTAGTTAAAAATAGGTTTTTGGGGTTCTGAACATTTTTGCTTAGTACTCCTGATATGTGTTAGCTAGTAGGTTTTTGAGATACAGTACTCTGGGTGACATCACCATGGAGACAAGTTAGCAACAGTCTATATTTATTATAGAATATATTTATAAAAACATATTTATATAAACTTTTGAGTAATAAAATTATAAAGTTTATATTTAAAAATTTTTATTATTAAAATTTTTCAAAATTTTTTAAAATTTTATATATTTCTAAAGATAAAAAAAATTTTTGTTCTTAATATAAGTTTAAATTTTTATAAGAATTTGGGCAGGCTGGTAACAAATTTTTAAATTTATTACTGTAACTTTAGGAGCTATAATCTGATGTAAAGCCTTGTGAAAAATCTAATTGCAAATATAGTTCTGAAATATAAATTCTCAGAAAGAGCCCTAATCATGAAGTGCAAATATTATATATAATAGTAGCATTACAGAAGGTCTAAGCTATATAAGATCACATGAATTAGTCTTTTAATTAGAGTGATTTAGAGGCAATACCAATATTCTGTTATCTCTTTATTAGACAACACCAATATTCTTGCATCTAACTTATAAGATATTTGCTTAGAAGGATGATCAATGGATCATACACATTAGTTCTAATTTGAAAAATGGTGCTAGGAACTTGCTTGAAAACGTAATACAATACTACTAAAACCAAAATAATAAGAGAGGTAGTGAATATATAAAAGGGCTGTAGTAAAGGATTAGCCTTATCTAAACAAGAAGTACCTCTAACATTATAAAATAACTAGCTAAAGAAGGTAATTTTATAGAGGTAGATGAGCTAATCTAATATATATAAAGAAACCAAATCGAAGTACTAGTTATATTTATATAAAAGTTTTTGACCGAAAAAGTCAGAATATACCAATAATAATACAATACTAATCAATGATGAAGAGTCAAGTTGGAAGTCAAGATGAATTGAGGTATACCTTTTAGTAACAATGCAAGGCCTATGGTTAAAAATAAAATTGCTTGCCACTTAAGGAATTTCGTAATGTTAGGCTAATCTTTAACAAAATAGGTCATTAAAGCAACTATGCAATATAGTTTTGGTAATACACTATATAAGGAAGTATAAATAGATTAGTTAGTACTACTATATTAGAAAAAGAATATTAAGTTTTGGAGTAAGCAAACCAGTAGCAGTAGCAGAGCTTGGCTTGAGATATAGATTAGTAGTATCTAAGCTAATAAGTAAATGATTAGAGTATTCATGAAGAGAGATAGTGTATGAAAGAATGCAAACTAGTTAAGGCAGTGCAAACACAAGATAAATCCTTAATTCAACAATAGAATACCAACTCTATTATGTGACAAACCTAACTAGCAAGTTCTTGGCTTGAGATATAAGGCTATAGAAAGGCCATCTGCACCAATTACAGTTGTATGAATAAAATACCTTAGTAAAAAATTGCAATGGGTTGTGCTTACAAATATACCAAATTGAAAGCTTATTAGAAGCAGACACCTAATATATCAAATTTGAAGTTATAACTAGTTATGTGAGATATGAGAGGAATATAATATTATTAGAAACATTAGAAAAATAAATATAGTACAGATCTGCAAAAATTTGCTATATTATAAAAAAATGCCAAATTTTATGATATCTCATAACCCAATAATCAAAACTCAATAATTTTGGTACCATTCGATTTGTCTCAATGAGACAGATCAAATAGTACTAAAATTGTTAAATTTTAATCACTAGGTCACAAGAAATTTTTGATTAAGTAGTTTTTGTAAACACTTATATAACTTTTACTTAGTAGTCTAAATTTAATGATTTTGATATCATTTAATTCCTCTCAATGAGACAATTTGAATGATATTAAAAATGCTAAAATCTGATTACTTGTTAGTGAGATATTTGCAAAAAACGTTTTGCAGCACAGTTCTATACAGAACTTAAATTAAAGTTTTGCGAAGAACTATACTATGAAACATTTTTTATGAATATCTTATCAACTAATAATCAGATTTTAGCATTTTTAATACCATTTGAATTGTCTCATTAGAAGGAATCGAATGACACCAAAATCATTAAATTTGAACCACTAGGTGGAGAGTTATATAAGTATTTACAAAAATTACTTAATTGCAGATCTGCATGTAAAAAATAGATTTTCATAGGCGCAGTATTTATATACTGATAAAATATATACACATTTTACAATTATAGTAAAATGTATTCTTTTTTTTTTAAATTATAAATTTATACTTGTTACGCGTAACTCGAATCTCAATAGTACCTCTGATATTTATAAATCATTTATTCTTTATATATTTCAAGAAGTTTTATATGAAGGAAAGAAAGATTTCATAATAAAATTGCTTGTTCAATTATGTTCTACGTCACATTTTTGCCGTTTACTGCTGCCTTCACTGAACTTTATACCGTCACTATTATTTTTTGATATTGCTTTTTCTGATGCGTCCTTTTTGAAATTTGCACTATATCTTCCTATCCATCCTTTTATAGTTTTTACTGTCGGTATTTCCTCAAAAGTAAGTTCTCCATTTGCTGCCAGATCTTCTAAATCGGTATGCATAGCTTCAGGTGAGTAATGGTATTCGGATCCCAAATTTCCTGCCAAAAAATACCCTTTCAAATACTGTATTACTTTTTTTGACATGCGTTTTCCAGCACCTTTATTACTAAGTTTCATATTCTCTTTCAGGGCCCACCCCAAAGCAAGAGGAAATTCTTGATCAACGCTATGAAATAAGTATCTTATAGTAGTATACAAAATATTTGATGTCGAATAGAGTTATTATGATAATAAAAGCTTAT